TATATATATATATGAATAATCCAGTGGGAAAACTGTACTTCTAAAAACACAAAGTGTGTTTCTTCTGAATGTTTCTAAGGTACTCTAAAAGATGGTTTCTATAGATAATATTATGGTAGATAACTGGATAGTACATTTATTCTACTTCCTGAGGCTCTACAGTCTAATCTTCCTGAATGTTTGGGCTGTTTAACTTCTGTAATGGTAATCAATATTATCCAGTCATCCATCATGCTGTATCTATAGGCTGTACCATTCAACGTGTCAGGCAATGCTGTATTATAAAACACATGCACATGTATATGTAACCCATGTTTTTAACCCAGCATAGTTGTAGCATGTGGTTGTATTAATGAACGTTACAGGACAGCTTTGCTAATCATTGACAAATCTGTAACATTCAATAAAGAAGCACATGTTGCCGGGATTAAGTATGTTCCCAATTCCATGTTATTTAGCCTCCTCGTAAAATGAGCACTTTTGTTCCTGAGCTGCTTTCTGTTTTTCACAATCCTTTAGGCCACTAGGAAATACGTGTATAAGCTGATGTACACCCTCTACCCAGCCCTGTGAGCCTTGGTAGGTGAATTGTGTTTTGCGAAAGATGAGCTGGCATGTTATGCAAAAGACTATATGACAAATGAACTTAAAATAATATTTTAAACTCCAGTTGAATTAGCTGTTTGTTTACATCTGCTAACCCCATGTGGAAGCAGGGTACAGTATTTTATAAATATGTTCATTTAGTAACACTGATACGTTTGTTTCTAGATGAAGTGATGCTAGTGTGTAGGTGGTTATATATGTTCTAGATATTGCATTATTACTCACTATTCTTTAACAATAGCAATGTAACTGAAATGAAGTAACCCTCCCCCAAATCCAGTCTTAATTTTGTGGCAACAAAATGCATGCACTGCTTTATGCGTTTCTTTTGACTTTTTAAGGGCACTTAACATTTTACTATTGCCTGCTGTAGCACTTAAAAACCAGCTAGGAACTTGCTCACGCTGTTGGGCTGCTTACACTGTTTGGGGATTATGTTCAATTTTTCAAAATTAAAAACAAAAAAGTAACCAAGGGGCTTTTTTTTTAATCTTTTTTGAAGCTCTGAACAAATAATATGAAAGAAAGTATTAACCACAGGGTGTATAGCTAGGGGACCCAGAGATGGCTAGCCAACAGCGGTCCAGGTGTTGGTGCACCTGTGATATAGGAAAGACCCATTTCTGATTCTTTAGGGCCACTGGGTACAGATTGTTAAACGAGACGTGAGAGTGAGAAGTCCATTGGTGACAATGCAGAAATCCACAGGTCATGGTGAATGAGTGGTCCAGTGATGCTGGTGCCCTCCCTCCTACTTGGTGGCTTTTCTT